GTTCGAAATTCCAGTCATCTGAAGAAGGCTGGAACGTACAACGGCCGAAACGTTATGAATATGGCAATGAAAATGACGATAACAGTCCGAATAATGTAAATAATGCAAGTAATCATAATACCTCATCTCAGAGATATAGACAGCCATTATATCACTAGAAGCTAGTCACTGGATCTAACCAACGTCTTTATCCACTGGGCCATGTGTCCTTGTGCATATGGCAATGAAGATGAGGATAACAGTCTGAATAATGTAAATAATGCAAGTAATCATAATACCTCATCTCAGAGATATAGACAGCCATTATATCACTAGAAGCTAGTCACTGGATCTAAGCAACGTCTTTATCCACTGGGCCATGTGTCCTTGTGAATATGGCAATGAAGATGCGGATAACAGTCTGAATAATGTAAATAATGCAAGTAATCATAATACCTCATCTCAGAGATATAGACAGCCATTATATCACTAGAAGCTATTCACTGGATCTAACCAACGTCTTTATCCACTGGGCCATGTGTCCTTGTGAATATGGCAATGAAGATGAGGATAACAGTCTGAATAATGTAAATAATGCAAGTAATCATGATACATCATCTCAGAGATATAGACAGCCATTATATCACTAGAAGCTATCACTGGATCTAAGCAACGTCTTTTACCACTGGGCCATGTGTCCTTGTGAATATGGCAATGAAGATGAGGATAACAGTCCGAATAATGTAAATAATGCAAGTAATCATAATACCTCATCTCAGAGATATAGACAGCCATTATATCACTAGAAGCTAGTCACTGGATCTAAGCAACGTCTTTATCCACTGGGCCATGTGTCCTTGTGAATATGGCAATGAAGATGAGGATAACAGTCCGAATAATGTAAATAATGCAAGTAATCATAATACCTCATCTCAGAGATATAGACAGCCATTATATCACTAGAAGCTAGTCACTGGATCTAAGCAACGTCTTTATCCACTGGGCCATGTGTCCTTGTGAATATGGCAATGAAGATGAGGATAACAGTCCGAATAATGTAAATAATGCAAGTAATCATAATACCTCATCTCAGAGATATAGACAGCCATTATATCACTAGAAGTTAGTCACTGGATCTAAGCAACGTCTTTATCCACTGGGCCATGTGTCCTTGTGAATATGGCAATGAAGATGCGGATAACAGTCTGAATAATGTAAATAATGCAAGTAATCATGATACATCATCTCAGAGATATAGACAGCCATTATATCACTAGAAGCTAGTCACTGGATCTAAGCAACGTCTTTACCACTGGGCCATGTGTCCTTGGGAATATGGCAATGAAGATGAGGATAACAGTCTGAATAATGTAAATAATGCAAGTAATCATAATACCTCATCTCAGAGATATAGACAGCCATTATATCACTAGAAGCTAGTCACTGGATCTAAGCAACGTCTTTATCCACTGGGCCATGTGTCCTTGTGAATATGGCAATGAAGATGAGGATAACAGTCCGAATAATGTAAATAATGCAAGTAATCATAATACCTCATCTCAGAGATATAGACAGCCATTATATCACTAGAAGCTAGTCACTGGATCTAAGCAACGTCTTTATCCACTGGGCCATGTGTCCTTGTGAATATGGCAATGAAGATGAGGATAACAGTCCGAATAATGTAAATAATGCAAGTAATCATAATACCTCATCTCAGAGATATAGACAGCCATTATATCACTAGAAGCTATTCACTGGATCTAACCAACGTCTTTATCCACTGGGCCATGTGTCCTTGTGAATATGGCAATGAAGATGAGGATAACAGTCTGAATAATGTAAATAATGCAAGTAATCATGATACATCATCTCAGAGATATAGACAGCCATTATATCACTAGAAGCTAGTCACTGGATCTAAGCAACGTCTTTACCACTGGGCCATGTGTCCTTGTGAATATGGCAATGAAGATGAGGATAACAGTCCGAATAATGTAAATAATGCAAGTAATCATAATACCTCATCTCAGAGATATAGACAGCCATTATATCACTAGAAGCTAGTCACTGGATCTAAGCAACGTCTAAGCAACGTCTTTATCCACTGGGCCATGTGTCCTTGTGAATATGGCAATGAAGATGAGGATAACAGTCCGAATAATGTAAATAATGCAAGTAATCATAATACCTCATCTCAGAGATATAGACAGCCATTATATCACTAGAAGCTAGTCACTGGATCTAAGCAACGTCTTTATCCACTGGGCCATGTGTCCTTGTGAATATGGCAATGAAGATGAGGATAACAGTCCGAATAATGTAAATAATGCAAGTAATCATAATACCTCATCTCAGAGATATAGACAGCCATTATATCACTAGAAGCTAGTCACTGGATCTAAGCAACGTCTTTATCCACTGGGCCATGTGTCCTTGTGAATATGGCAATGAAGATGAAGATAACAGTCCGAATAATGTAAATAATGCTAGTAATCATAATACCTCATCTCAGAGATATAGACAGCCATTATATCACTAGAAGCTAGTCACTGGATCTAACCAATAATTTATCCACTGGGCCATGTGTCCTTGTGAATATGGCAATGAAGATGAAGATAACAGTCCGAATAATGTAAATAATGAAAATAATCAACACCTCATCTCAGAGATATAGACAGTATTATATCACTAGAAGCTAGTCACTGGATCTAACAACGTCTTTATCCACTCCATGTGTCCTTGAATATGGCAATGAAGATGAGGACAGCCAAAATTCATATACCTCATCTCAGAGATATAGAAGCCATTATATCACTAGTCACTGGATCTAAGCAACGTCTTTATCCACTGGGCCATGTGTCCTTGTGAATATGGCAATGAAGATGAAATAATATAAATAATCAGTCCGAATATAGACAGCCAATAATAAGCTAAATAATCATAATTTATCCTCATCTCAGAAGATATAGACAGCCATTATATCACTAGAAGCTAGTCACTGGATCTAAGCAACGTCTTTATCCACTGGGCCATGTGTCCTTGTGAATATGGTGAAGATGAGGATAACAGTCCGAATAGTGTAAATATGGATATAGACAATTATATCACTAGAAGATGTCACTGGATCTAACAGTCCACTGAAATAAATGAAGATGAGGATAACAGTCCGAATAATGTAAATAATATAAGTAATCATAATACCTCATCTCAGAGATATTATATCACTAGAAGCTAGTCACATTATATCACCACTGGGCCATGTGTCCTTGTGAATATGCAATAAGATGAGGATAACACTAATGTAAATAATAAAGCAAATACCTCATCTCAGAGATATAGACTTATTCATCCACTGGATCTAAGCAACGTCTTTATCCACTGGGCCATGTGTCCTTGTGAATATGGCAATGAAGATGAGGATAACAGTCCGAATAATGTAAATAATATAAGTAATCATAATACCTCATCTCAGAGATATAGACAGCCATTATATCACTAGAAGCTAGTCACTGGATCTAAGCAACGTCTTTATCCACTGGGCCATGTGTCCTTGTGAATATGGCAATGAAGATGAGGATAACAGTCCGAATAATGTAAATAATATAAGTAATCATAATACCTCATCTCAGAGATATAGACAGCCATTATATCACTAGAAGCTAGTCACTGGATCTAAGCAACGTCTTTATCCACTGGGCCATGTGTCCTTGTGAATATGGCAATGAAGATGAGGATAACAGTCCGAATAATGTAAATAATATAAGTAATCATAATACCTCATCTCAGAGATATAGACAGCCATTATATCACTAGAAGCTAGTCACTGGATCTAAGCAACGTCTTTATCCACTGGGCCATGTGTCCTTGTGAATATGGCAATGAAGATGAGGATAACAGTCCGAATAATGTAAATAATATAAGTAATCATAATACCTCATCTCAGAGATATAGACAGCCATTATATCACTAGAAGCTAGTCACTGGATCTAAGCAACGTCTTTATCCACTGGGCCATGTGTCCTTGTGAATATGGCAATGAAGATGAGGATAACAGTCCGAATAATGTAAATAATATAAGTAATCATAATACCTCATCTCAGAGATATAGACAGCCATTATATCACTAGAAGCTAGTCACTGGATCTAACCAACGTCTTTATCCACTAGGCCATGTGTCCTTGTGAATATGGCAAATGAAATAATATAAGATGAGGATAGTCCGAATAATGTAAATAATATAAGTAATCATATTACCTCACCTCAGAGATATAGACAGCCATTATATCACTAGAAGCTAGTCACTGGATCTAACCAACGTCTTTATCCACTGGGCCATGTGTCCTTGTGAATATGGCAATGAAGATGAGGATAACAGTCTGAATAATGTAAATAATGCAAGTAATCATAATACCTCATCTCAGAGATATAGACAGCCATTTTATCGCTAGAAACTAGTCACTGGATCTAACCAACGTCTTTATCCACTGGGCCATGTGTCCTTGCGAATATCGCAATGAAGATGAGGATAACAGTCCGAATAATGTAAATAATGCAAGTAATTATAATACCTCATCTCAGAGATATAGACAGATATCCTCAAAGTTTTTCGGATTTTCGGAAAGATATGTTTTGTTTATCATCGAAATATTGAACGCATGGGCGTCGTGTTTCACATTCAGAATAATTTGGAATATATGATATATAAAATTCAATTACCATATAATCAATTTGATGCGCTACTAAATTCGATAAGTATTGGGAAGTGACTGTTCGGCAAGTGAATGGTTTTGGTTGGTTGCTGAAAGGTTAATGTTTTATTACTTTGCGCGAATGTTTCTCATTAATTCGTTGGAGTTGTTAACTCTGAATTGTCTGTGTAGCAGGATTTAGCAATTAAGAGCGAAGCACAGATAACGAATCGGGGAAATTGTTTTATTGCATCCAGATGTGAAGTTACGTTGAAATGGAAACTTCAAATAGACAACTAAATTGAAAATTTTAATTCTGGATTAAAAAAGTTTGATATCAATTTTAAACATCTATCTATCTATCTATCTATCTATCTATCTATCTATCTATCACTTTGTTCATATCTATTTATCTATCCATCTATCAGTTTGTTCATATCTATCTATCTATCTATCTATCTATTTTTTTAGCCTGTTCAGATCTATTAACCAATTTGTTCATATCTATATCAGCATATTTCACTCGATCACTTAATGTTTCCCTAAGTATCACCGTATGTTCATATCTTTCTCTATATATCTCTATCTTTTTGACTCTCTCTTTCTCACTCTCTTTTTCTCACTCTTTATATATATATATATATATATATATATATATATATATATATACATCGGTCTGTTCATATCATCTTTTTCATCTCTCAATCTCACTTACACCTATCTCTCTCCTCGTATATATATATATATATATATATATATATATATATATATATATATATATATATATATATATATATAAAACGGTGCACCCAGGTGCATTAATGTGCACCGAAAGGTAACCAGGTGCGTCCCAAGTTAACAGAAGTGCAATTTATGAATTATTTTTATATGTAAAAAAATATTTTCAAAAAGCTAGAGACATCAAGCATATGAGTTCCATTGCTAAGTTAATTCTTTGTCATTTAATATTTTAAACTGGATGCTAAATTCCTTAATCTTTCTCTAAGAAGGTGTGGTTAATCCTCTCCCTTCTGTCCTCCTCAAGGGGTTTAAATCAGTCATTATCGTCCTCTTTATCATTAAATTGCGCTCTGGAGTTTTAGTTAATCTGGAAGTGCGCCCTGAAATAAAAAACGTTGAGAAATATTGATTAATCTATCTATCTATCTATCTATCTATCTATCTATATATCTATCTATCTATCTATCTATCTATCTATCTATCTATCTATCTCTATCTATCTATCTATCTCGGTCTTCTTGTATTTCTTTCTTTCTTATATTTATATCTATCTATTTCGGACTGTTTATATTTCTTTCTTTCTTTCTTTCTTTCTTTCTTTCTTTCGTATATTTGTATGTATGTATGTATGTATGTATGTATCTATCTATCTATCTATCTATCCATCTATCTATTATTAACATTGCCCAGTTGTTAAAGACGTTGGTTAGATCAAGTGACTAGCTTCTAGTGATATAATGGCTGTCTATATCTCTGAGATGAGGTATTATGATTACTTGCATTATTTACATTATTCGGACTGTTATCCTCATCTTCATTGCCATATTCACATCGTTTCGCCGTTGTACGTCCCGGCCTTCTTCATGTGATTTGAATTTCGAACCGAACCCTTTATTTCGTCCACCGGAGTAGATTCTTCTAGTTCCATGTGCCATGCCTCTTCTGGATGTCTCAATTATTTCCTTTTAACTCAACTCTCAAGGCTTAGTGGATAAAGAGGTTGATTAGATCCAGTGACTATACCCAAAGTGTTGTGAGTTCAATGCCAGGTGACGGCAGTGGTGAACCAAAAACTTTGGGAGCTTAGTGCGAATTTAAAAACAAAACAAAAAACCCCCAAAAAGCCCCTATATAATGAAGAGAAGAAACAGCCAGAATAAAATTCTCTAAATACATTATTCATGTAACCTTAACGCTTGTGGGTTCGAATCTAATGAGAGGACATCTTCATTTAATATCGGTACCTCCACTAAATTTTCGATAAATAAGATTTAAAATGAATTTTAAAAAAAATGAAAAATCATTCTTGAAGTTTTCTTTTTAGCTTTAATTGAAAGCTAAATGATTCAATTTACCATTTCCAATTAGCAAAATCCACTGGTGTATTTCAAACAGAAACTGTATTGATCTGAATCTCCCCTTTTCACTCGCTTTCAGAAAATCTATAAAAATCGATAAATATCAGTTATTTTCATAGATTTGCAAACAAAAGTTATTTCTCGGTTTTAAAAATCTTCCAAAAATAAAATATATCTTTGTGACAGGCTATTTAAGGAAAATTAGCAAATTTAAAGTTAAATTAATATGATTTCAAAATAAATATTACTTATATTATAAAGCGTAATATACAAGCATTTCTTAACCACAGGATTAGAATTTCGACCATGTTAGAAAGAATTAAAAAATTTAATAAAATAGTAAAAAAATACGTTTGCTTTCCTCTTAATAAGTGAATAAAAATTTTGACGATTAAGCTTTGTTTTTATAAAGTTTTGGGCCTTTAATAATAATAATAATAATAATAGGATCTGTTACAATTCTATGGGACTACACAATACACACTGACAGATTAATCAAAGCCAACCGCCCAGATATTGTTATTAAAGACCACAAACAAAAAAGTGCCTCCTTATTGATATGGTTGTCCCTGCTGACTGCAATGTATCTTTGAAGATATTCAAAAAGCTGTCAAAATACAAGAACCTTGAAATAGAAATCTCGAAAATGTGGCATATGGGAACATCAACAATCCCTGTTGTAGTTGGAGCCCTAGGACTGGTTGGAAAAGATTGCAGTAGACTAATTGAAGGGATTCCTGGAAGTCCATGCCTCAAGGAGATACAAAAAATTGTTCTGACAATTACAACCCACACTTTACGAAGGGCTTTATCTATGTCATTTTTTTTTTTTTTTTGTCAGTGGAAAGTGTCATGATGCCATTTCTAACCTTAGGTCCCTGGGTGGGACCCGGAAAGAAATGTGTAAACGCCAGAAATCAAAGAAAATAAAAAAAAATAATAATAGTGAAATCAACCTATTACTGTATAAAATTTCCTTAAAATTTTAGCTCATTTTGCTTAATCTATTTTGCTGGCGAATGCTAATCTTAGGGCTGGCGAAATTTAAAATTTTAGGTAACCTCCCTCTCTTAATTGAAATAGTTTCAGAATTGTGCAATGTAGAAAGAGTTACAGTAGTGAGACATCTCGGAATCTACTAGCTCGCATCTAAGAACATAAGAGAGACCTGCGCTGCGTCAGCCCTTTAAACTCGCTTGTAATATACAGGAACAAAAATGGCCACAATTTTCATTTTATAAATGCCACCCTAATTTAAAAAAGAATATAATTCTTTACGTAGGGAATTTTTCGAGGGAATCCTGATAAATATTTCACCATCTATAAACACACGTCAAACGCACTTTGTTGCATCACAAACTTTTATAAAATCCATATTTACAGAATCTAAGAGATGCCTACCTGCTAATACCGTTACAATCAATGCTAAGTGCTTATACCAACATGTCGTGAAACAATAAACATAAATAAAAATAACTACTAGACACATAACTACCCACACACACTTACAAACGAATATACATTATCATCCGAATCCCCCCATAAAAAAAACAGAATCATGATACACTTACATAAATTTTAAGCTGCTTGACCACTACACATGGTCTGCTTAAACAATGAAAAACAAACATAAAAACTAAAATTTTAAATTGTTCGGATTGTTGTCCTCATTTTCATTATCATATTCACGACGTTTCGGCCGTTGTACACTCTGGCCTTCTTTAGGTGATTGGACTTTCGAACTGAACCCTTCATTTCCTCCACCGGGGTAGATTGTTCTAGTTCCGGATGTAATTATTAACTCAACTCTCAGTTGCAGTAGCCAGATATTGAACTTAAAACCCTTTGAATCAAGTTACTGGATCCACTGGGGCATGTGTTCTTGAGGACATCGGTGTATAAACTTTTGGGACTTATAAACTTAATATCCCAGTAGCCTTTTGAACCAGAGCTCATATTACAATTTTGTTGTTATTATTGCTTTTCTCTCGCAATCCGAGGTTACTGATTCCCATATTGTATTCATTTCCACGCTTGGCCGGCTAAAGGAGATTTTTGTGGTCTAGCATATATACCGATTCCTTAAGTTTTTGTATTTTCCAGTGATGTTATCTGACTAGTATTTCAACCTCATTCCAGATGGGTGAGGGCGATGATCTCTCTTATCCCTCCATATGTGGTCAGCTACGCCTGGTTTTGCTATTTTCCGTCGTGTTACGGCTTTACGATGTTTTTGCAGTCTTACCTTAAGGGGGCGGCCCGTTTCTCCTTTATATTTCTAACCACCGCTGCACGGGATTGCGTATACACAGTCCTTAGTCATGTTCTCCTGTATCTCTTGATTTTTTTCACGTGTCTATCTCGACTACCATTTTGTATTATACCCCGAACAAACTCTTACTTACCCACATCTGATATTTGATACCCAGAAACAAGCAAACGACCGAACCTTGTAAATCACGGGAAATAAACTCTTTTACTTATCTCGATTCCATTCTGCTTATGACGATAAACTACATCTGGCAGCAAGACCTCTGATCTGGAGACTGGAGATATTCAGGAGCGTGGAACCACCTCTTAATTGCTGTTCTTTCAAGATCTACCCTAACCCGGGGTGGTAGCACCTGCTAGGGTCCCAGTTATGGGAAAATAGTGAACACCCAAACAAAAATCAACAGTAATGAAATTAACAGAAATGCATATTTTAAAAATTACCAACACCATTGTGCAGCAAGGTCTCTGATTGGGGGTGGGGTTGAGGTGTGTGGAACCACCTCTTAATTGCTGTTGTTCACAGGTCCACCCTGACCGGGGTAGTAGCACCTAGTAGGGTCCCAGTTATGGGAAAATACTTAACCCCAAAACTGGGGTGAAAACACTATGGCAGTATTAAAAAAATATGGTAAAAATACCAGCAATACATTTTCATAGTAAAAAAAAAAAATTGTAAAAGAAATTACTAATGTTGCCAAGAAAATTAAATTTCGGCATTAAAGGACCCATAATTGATATGCCGCTAAAGAAACAAATAAATATTTAACAATACATTTTATGATCTACAAACTATACAGGGTTATTGAAAAAAAGATTGAACCGATTCATGAGGCATTGCTTCAATTCTCAAGAATCGTCATGGAACGAGTCAGTGACCATTTGAAAGACGAGTTTTCTAAGGTTTGAATGGCTACCAGAGGGGCGCTGTAGTCGTGTCGTATCTCCGCTGTTTGTTTACCCTCGGCATGGCGAGTCCTCTGCAAAAGGCGTTCTGCGTTCTCGAGTTTGCTAAAATAAATACGGTTGTCATAGTGCTTTTCGAAGGCAATTTGACATTAATTCGTCTTTCCCTAAAATCATTCGACGGTGGTTGAATCA